TTTTTTTTATGTCAACACTTGTTACAGAGCGGTTGGATGCATTGGAGCTAGACACTGTGCTTTCTGAAATATGCTTGATGAACACTCACACTGAAATGTATTGGCGATTCGTGAGAAGGCGTATCAAAGGTGCTTCCAAAGATGAAAAACACGATGAGGTAAACAAGATGCACAGTCTGTTTTAAACTGCTTAACATAAATTTCTCTTTCAGTTTGTTATGGTGAATGCCGATGACTTCGGAGATTTGGACGAGGAAAAGAAGAAACAACTTGAAGAAGAACGGCTGAGGAGGAAAATAGAAAGGGAGAGAAAACTTGATCAGCTGCTGAATAGAAGTCTAGTTGGCTCGAAGATGCAGGTTCGTGCTGTCATTGTCACTCTGAGTTTTTATTGATTTTGACGTTGAGAATAGAATTAATCAGAGCATAATAGATATTTTCCATTCAATAATAGTTGCAGGATTTCTACCATCCGAAAAACAGTTGTAATATCAAGGAGTATCGAAAAATTAGGACTTTTTTCATCTGTTATCTGTGTTTCTCCATCTTTCTTCCTGAGTGCATTTTGACACTACTGTTTATTTAGGAACTACTGGGTAATTATATCCTTTTGGAACAGTACTATATGGAAGAATGCGTACGAAAAGCGATAGACATGGACGTTAGGGAAGAAGGACTGTTAAGGTTGGCATTTGACAATTATCCATATTCAAGATAATTTCCGCAACGTCATTGCATTCACTTGGAAAAAGATGGGTTACGCTTCAAATTATTTTATTAGGAGAGTTCTAGACGTATTCGGACCCCAACTTTGTTTCCTAAACTTAAAGTTCTGCATTGATTCTTGTTGTTTAGCTCGGTTGTGGATGACGTTCTTTTCCTGGTTCGTAAATGCGTAAGGAGGGCTACAAGTAGCGGTTCTGTGGATTGTATCTGTGCTGCACTGAATAATGGAGTAGCGCTGTTAGAAACTACCTTTTACCAATACCTTTTTGGAGCAATCCAGGTAAATTTTATGTGAAAATTATATTTGTTTGTACTAGCGCCAAATCCTTTTATTTTTTTTTTTTTGGATATAACCGAGCTATTTCTAGAATGGTTACCCATCCACGAATTTTGCCGCCGAGGCTCTTCAGACAGCTCAAAATGCGTATAATGTCATTCAGCACGGTGGGATTTTCACATCTATGTGCAGTCTTCAGGAACAAAATTTGTTGCTTTCAAGGGAAAGCGTCCGAGGCTTCAACAGATACTCAAAAGGAATCATTCCTAACTGCTACAAACAATGCAAGAGGCACTGCGGATCTACTTTTAGAATTAAGAAAAGGATTAGAACAGGAGTGGAGCAAAACTCAGGTAGTTTGCTTTGAAATCTCAGGAGAACATCATAAAGCTACTTGCAGCGAAGTGAGGTAGAAACCGGTAAACTGGATAATGCTGTTAGCCAGCTCACAGACGTGTCGAGAAAGATGCATCATTTGGCGTCACTTGGTGTAGAGTCTTTGTGCAAGACCATCTTTAGGCCGAAACTCAAATCAAGGTTTGTGTTCTAATATGTCTTATTTCTAGTTTTTAAATCGAAATGACTACTTGAAATATACGATTTCACAGCCAGTTCATAGTAAACCAGTTAATCAGCTATTGTTTTGTGGTCATTGGTAAGGATGTTTCTTTTAAGTTGCGACTCATACGCTGATATTAATCATACCCTGACTGACACCCAGCTTGCTGAATTTGAAGCGGTTGATCCATTTATCGAACAATTCAATGCTAATCTCGACAAACAGATTGCTAGCTTTGAGCCAATGCTACACAAGGAAAATTTTCAGGTGGTGCAGACAGCTTTTTTGCTGCTCAGATAAGATTTAAAGTTATTCAATGATTCAGACTTTGTTGCTAACTGTATGCAGTGAAGTAGAGCGTCAAATGGAGCGTGTGATTATGAAATGCTCGTTCAATAGGTTAGGAGGCCTGCAGCTCGATAGGGAATTCCGCCAGCTGAGTTCGTACCTCAGTGGAGTTGCTGGTTGGACGGCTAGGGAAAGATGTGCTCGTTTAGCCCAAGTCGGTTCTTTGCATTTTACTGTCCTTTGCTCTTTTATTCGATTCCACTTTTTTCAAACATTGTTTACTTAAAGATTGTGGCACTGCTCAATGTGGAAAACGTTGAAGAGGCGGTTGAGTTGAGAGAAGCCACAAGAACATCTTCGATAGCTCGCATGCTATCGACTTCTGATGCAGTCAAAGTGCTTTTACTCAGGGTTGACTTGCCTGCAGCTCTAGTTCAAAAGCTGGATTTGTGACCTGGTCTAAGCATCACTTTCATGTTGTTTCTCAATATCCAGTGTTTTTCTGAAGACTAATCTACTCTCAATTTCCAAAATCTATTCTTAAATTCAATAATTGTAAATAAGTGGATAACTATGTTATCGTGGGAGACTGAATACTGATGAATATCGCGACTAATTGATCAATAATCTGTGATGCTAAGAAACGGAGTGATGGTTTTTTCTTATTATCGAGCTGTTTTTTTT